AGGGTTGTTGAAGGCACCTACAGACGATGTCGTGAGAGGAAGAAGGCCTTGACGGAGTCGCGCCGCTTCGTGAGAAGTCATGATGAAAGATCAGAGGGACCAAGCGACTATGGACTAAGAATTCACTCGAGCGCTAGGTCCAGGGTCCCTGTTTCAAGCCACAACACCAAAGGATGAGGGAAGTCTAACTTAGAAACAGCTGGGTATCGTGTCAGGGCTGTCTCTTTGGTCGGTTGGTTCTGGTACGTGGGGTGCTAGGGATTGGATGGATCCGCGGGGTGGGCGGCGCGTGCGAGCAGCAGCCCAGCAGCAGCAGTAGAGTGAGTCGATGCTCAGGTGAGGATCGAAGCAGTCGAGACTATTTTGAGACGACAAGGAATAGGTACGACTATGATGACCCTCGATCTGTCCCGGCACAGCACAGCCGGAAGAGAGACCTGACAGATAGACGTATGTGTGTAAGTAGGTAGGTATTGGATGTTGCAGGTGAGGCTCTGTGTGTGTTAAGGACGCTGCAGCTTGCCGAAGTTGGTCAATTGACAAGGAGGTAACGAATATCTCTCATCAAGCCATTCACCGTAGCTACGGCGAGGACGAAGAGTACGTCCCCTAATGCGCAAGCAACCAGCCAAGTAAGAAACAGAGATGTGATTGAGGATTGGACTGCCCTTGGATGTGAAAGGTGAAAAGAGAGAAAGTGGTTGGGAGAGGGGCTCTGTAAAGGGAAATGGATGTACAGGTCGCAGTTGGAGTAGGTACTATGTAGCAGCAGGAGATGGACCCCTGCATACAAGTCAAGTCAGTTCACCTTTTACGGCAAAATGTTGAAATCACGACACCTCATTTTTTTCTGGCGGTGTCAGCGGGAGCAGGACTGAAGCACTAGCAGAAGCAAGTGCATTTTCGAGTTGATAAACTGGAAACCGTTCTCGGTTCTCTGTTTATTGCCGGAGAGCCAAGCCCTGCCTACAGTATGTACCTGCTTTGCTGGGGTGGTCGAGCATTACATGGATGATGGACGCTATCTGAAGGTGGGACAAAGAGATACTAACTACAAGGTATGTATGCTTCATGGGAACTTTACCCACGGCCAATTGGCAATAGAAACAGAGGATGGGTCTACAAGCATGGCTTTCACTATCAGGCACTAGTTAAGCTTGAGGGGGTTCTAATAGGCATGACGATGACAGAGCACCTTCGACCGCTTCTTGCAGAGTTGAAAGATGGCGTTCTTTGAATGTCCGAGTTAGTTGGGGTATCTGTAGATCCTAGAGGATGATGCATTGGCGTAGCACGTAGCTGTGGACACTAATCAGTTGAGCGCTGCTTGATTTGTGCCTGTCGTGTTGTGTGAGTGCTGTAAGTAGAACGTTGATAGAAACCTTGCCATGTTGCTTGTCTGTCACCATACAAAGACGTTGAACATCCCACATGGAAGCTGATGAAGGACTTGATCGATCTTCCTATGTACATACATGCACTCCGACCCCGCTGAGCGGAAAAGGTTGGGATAGATAGACTTGGAGAGAAGCTAAGTTTGGAGCGATCCGTCGTGGTTCTATTCTTAGGCTCATCCTTCAGCATCTATTGGCTGACAAGGATTGACTATGCGGGTTGAGTGTGGATGTCGGCGCTTAATGGACGTCCCTCGCTGCCTGTCACATTTCTCTATGTAGGTACGTACTCCCTCAAGCTCTTGAGACCCATGACCGGCCGGAAAGACAAACGTTTGCACGGCTGGATCGAACTGCTGCATGAGATCCATGTGCAGGGGGGCCTTCATGCTGTGGGCTGATGTTGACTTTTGATCGCTACTCTGAATACTCCTTGCAGACTGCAGAGTGCCATTGGAATCCCGGGGACCAAGTTATCCGAAGAGAACAGAATAACAACGCAAAAGACGGTCAACAAATAGAGTTTCAACTGCCATGGGCCGTTTAAGAACAAAAATATGCTTGATGGGTTGATTCCATAGTCAAAAACCACCCATCAAATAGCTTATAAATCTAAGCTGGGGTCAAACCTAGAGTGATCTGTTTCTATGAATAGATCCACCATGGTATATGTAGGTGAGGCAGAAGTACAGATCTGGCTGATTTAACCCGTCACTCTTTTTTAAGATCGCACCTAATCTGTCAAGGGGAGGCAACAAAACTTGGGACCTCTCCTCTAGGAGTAAGAAAACACAAGACATAAGTTTAAGGTAATAAAATACACTCTATAAAAGGTACCCTAAACTTATCCTAAATTTATACTAAGTCACCTAAGTCTTTTTATCAGTTAGGTTTAAGGTCCCAAGTTTTATTTCCTCCCCTAGCCTCGATCATGGGTGATAAAGTCTTAGGTAAACCTAGCACAATTTTGTATATATTTAGCAGACCTCACGGACTTGGTCAGATATTCTTGGCACCTTGGTTCAATGTCAGAAGCTTTCTTGGGCCTCAGTGTCTGTATGTATGCTGATCATACCCTTGTCCAAGCTGGCATGAAGTATGGTCATAACGTGACGGCCATACTTAAGTCCAGGAGCTGCTCTAAAACTCTATCTAGTTGCCCATCAGGCTTCTCAGATAACTCTTGACCAGCAGCACGAAATCCTTCATAAGATCGTTCGAATCCAACAATGGAAGCTATCGAGCTTGACGGGCGTGTATTGTCCCTTTAAACTGATACACTACATTGGCTGAGCCAGCTTTCTGACATAAAGCTAACCGATATTCAGAGTCCTTCCGTTGAGTGTTTCATCTTTAGCCTTCACACAACTGTCTCTATGAGTCAATTGGGATGCCATTCGCAAGCAAGGCACTTGTGATCATGGAGGCCTAATCTTGGTGGAAAAGCTTCGCCAGTTGACATAACGGAACAAGAGGGTACTGATCATCGATTTCTCGTTGATTGCCACATAGAAATCCTCGATATATCCTTTCCCCGTTATCTACTTGTATTAGTCCTCCATCAGGAAGAATATTTCTCACCGAGGCTGAAGAGAAAGATTGTTTTGGTTATCGATAAAAATGACGAGGCTGGGTCTTGCTCTGAAATGAGCCCCACTTGAAGCTAGCTCTAGGACATTGGAAAAAGGTGGGGGCACAAGGCTCGAGTGAAATTCTAGAGGATTCTTCTCCAACAAACTCTCCTCTCTTTTCAACTCTTCACATTCTGCTCTTCTCTCTCTGCCTTTCCTTTGCTACCTATTTATTGACTTACTGACCACTGACCACTCTCTTTCCTTTCAACATCTTCTCTACACCTCCCTCACTTAACTGTAAGTACATACCACACTTTTTTGCACCAATTGTCGCATCTTTCATGATGAGATATCCAGCTGGCACCAGTCATAGAGTGACTTGTACTCCCTTCATTGATGACCAATATGCTGTGGTCTAAGACCATTTCTGATTCCAATTGCGACTCTGCTCTTTCATATTCACCTCGATCAATTTCTGTTTGGAGTCGAAGCTAACAGATTCAAAGCCATCATCTAGTACACCCCTTCGACCGACTTGACAATGGTTCTACACAACCCCAACAACTGGCACTGGGTCAACAAGGACGTCTCAGCATGGGCCAGATCCTACTTTGACGAGAGCCTCACAAAGGTTCAGGCCGAGGAGGGTGAGGTCAAGGCCAAGATTGATAAGATCCAGAGCATGGATGGTGATGTCGATGTCAGCCAACGCAAGGGCAAGGTGATTACCATCTTTGACGTCAAGCTGGTGCTCCAATATTCTGGTAAGGGAATGCGGTGACTTTGACTGATGCAAACATGACAACTAACCATTCAGGATCTGCTCCCGGTGAGGATGATGTTTCTGGTACCATTACTGTGCCTGAGATCGCCCACGACACGGAAGAAGACGAGTACGTGGTACGTAAAACCTCCCCTGCTCTTTCGCCTTCCGTGTTGCCGTAGAATAAACCTCGCTAAGAACCCTCGTAGTTCGACGTAGACATCTTTGCCGAGTCCAAGGAGAAGCAACCCGTGAAGGACCTTGTCCGATCAAAGATCGTGCCCCAGCTGCGCCAGGAATTCCAGAAGCTTGCCGGCGCCCTCATCGCCGAGCATGGCAAGGATATCCAGCATGCTCCCGGCTCCAACCCCTCGAGCGGTTTCTCGACCCCCAAGATTCACCCTCAGAGCTCCACTCCTAAGCCAGCCGCCACTTCCAGCACTCAAAGTAAGACCGGCGGTGTCGTAAACACCACTACTGTGACCGACAACGAAGAGTTCCGAACCACTGCTGAAGAGCTGTACCAAACCTTTGTCGACCCTCAACGAATCGCTGCTTTCACACGATCTCCTCCCAAGGTCTTTGATGGCGCCAAGGTTGGTGGAAAGTTTGAGCTGTTCGGCGGCAATGTGTCTGGCGAGTATCTCGAGCTCGAGGAGCCTCAGAAGATCACGCAAAGCTGGCGACTGAACCAGTGGCCTGCCGGTCACTTCTCCAAGCTGCACATCGAGTTTGACCAGAACGACGTCGACCACGTTACCGTTATGCGAGTCAAGTGGGAGGGTGTTCCTATCGGCCAGGAGGACGTTACCAAGCGCAACTGGCTCGAGTACTACGTCAAGAGCATCAAGCAGACTTTCGGGTAAGTTCATTGATAGCTCTTCTTGCTTACTTATACTGACTACGAGGCCGTAGCTTCGGCACCATTTTGTAAGCATACTACAAGACTAAGGAGTCGTGGAGTTAGAGTAGATACAAGGGTAATACGCTCTCTAGATGAGGGTAGTGACGGGGGGTTGCATGGTCGCTGCTTTGGTGGAGGAGGGCGAGGGTCGTCTTGGGTGATCTACACAAGACCTAGAAGCGTGTGGTTACGATATCATGAGAGACGTAAAGTAAAGCAAAATGAAATAATGCATCAATGGTCAATAGCCATATTGTGTCATAAGTTATGTGAAGAATGTCTGATACCTCGTCAGTTGGCATAGTGCGCCTCTCGCATCATACTCATTGTCCCATTCGTCCCTTTGTTTCTTCCGAGTCACTCTGTTATCCACCAGATGATACACTAGGTTTCAACATGGCATCTTCTTCACCTCCCTTTCTCGTTGGAAGCCGCAATTTGCCCAGATCAGATCCTGCCACTGTATATCCAGACGACAGGCCAGTCACTTTATTGGACAGAGCCATTGTTTCGGTCCCAGCCAGAAAGACATGTTGCCCCATCCAGGAAGTCAACGCTGGCGGACCAAGCCATATACGGTATATCCCAACGATGATGGAAAAGCAACCGAGGATAATAAATACGATGGCAGCACTGATGTAACACCCGGTGTTCTTGTTTTCCCTCCATCCAACGTAGAAAGGATACTCAGCATCACGAAATGATTCTTCAGGGGCCAAAATTCTTTCTTCCCCAAAAGGCAAGAAACCAGCCTTCAGGTTCTCCGAGTCCAGCAGTTTTGTGGTTTTGATAGATGCCATGACTGCTCTGATGATTGCACTAACACCACTGAGAAGCGTGGCATCTGGGCTCTTGACCAAAGCATCTAGCCAAACGCCGTACTGTGGTATCAAGTCCGAGATGTTAAAGCGCTCTGTGGCTGTTATATTGCCCCAGGATGGCATCACAGCAGCGATGGATTTTTCGAAAGTGTTATTGCTGAAAGAGAGGAACGAAAGAGCCGCCTGTGGCAGAAACCTGCAGTTCTGGTCTCGAACGTATCTCCTGACTTCGGCGGTTGCGAGCTCCATCTTGTACAAGGACCGATGCTCTACCGGAATCCTCCACGATTCTGAAGATTTGTTTGGTTTCTTTGCCCATTGGATCTGGAGGCTCCCAAATCCAATGAGTCGATACTCAACCAGGGCTCTTTGAGGCGGATCAAACCAGTTGGTGCTGGCCGTCTCCATTCGATGCCAGTCGCCTGGGTCTTCTGTCATATAAAAGTCGCCTTTGCCCACTGAGCCATTGGCTACTAAAACTACTTCTCGAGTATGAAGCGTTCCGACGTCGCCAGGGTAGAATTGATCAGCTCTGCTGGTTGAAAAGCAATTGGCATGACCAACCATAGCCAAGCCATTGGGTGGTAGGGACATATTTGCAGCATAGGGAGGCTCTTGAGAAAGCTGGTTGAAATGAATAAATGCCCGATTGATGTCATAAAGCGGGAAGTCATTGATCCATGGCTCGGGTTCCGAGACAAGAGAGCCGTTCTTCACTGCCGAAAGCTCACTCTTGATATATTCAATTAATCGTGGATGAAAGTTCTCTTTGATCCAAGCGTCCGGGCTCACAATAGCGAACTTGTAGCCCACAGATGCAATGATGCTCATAATCAGGAGAAAGTATCGCAGAGTGATAAAGGAGGGAAAACCTCTGAAGCCATAGACGACCGGTGCTCGTGGTTGAGAGTTGAGATACCGAGCATAGTCGAGGCCATTGCTGAGTTGTGCTTGTCGACTAGCCCATGTATCGAATAGATGAACATATGCCTCTGTAAAGCCATAAGATGATAGAGCAAATGCAACACCAACGATGGCTATCCAGGTCTGGATGCTCCATTCATGTCCAACACTGAAACGTGCCTGGCCTGGTGGCCTTGCCCTACCGAGTTCATCTTTCTCTTTGCGACCGGAGAGCGCATTTATACCAACAAAAATAAGGACTGAACCGCCGACAACAATCGCGAGCAGAGAAAGAGTGCCAAGCATCTGCAGACGTCGAACCTGAGGAGGCTGAATCAGAGCCATCACGGCATAATCGACATTGCCCGAAACTCGAAAACAGTCATGAACGAAGACAGGGTATTGTATCGGTGCATGAAGCGCAGGCGATTCAGGAAAGAAATAAAAATCATGGCGTCTCTTGACGACTGACATCATTGAGGCGAACATCCATACAGTATGCTCAGCCCTGGACATCCATGGACAGGGGTTGGGATCCCGCAGTCAGCCTGCAGATCATCTTCTGCGTACGGCTCACTCACTCTATATACAGGTTATCACCGCCTGCGCCGTCTCTCGGCATTGGGTTCGTCATTTTTGTTCCCAAACCCAAAGTCGCGGACAAATATATCGACCAAATTATCCCACAGTCCCATGTCATACAAGTTCTCGACATCGCTCAAGTTCCAAACCCTCTCCCACTCACCTTCTCCAGGATACCGAAGTTCATCCTTTGGGGGCTGTCCATCCTGAGTAGTGACGATTACCTGTTGGACCTCAACTGGCCAGCGTGTGAAGCGAGGCTCAACTCGTTCGTTCTTCTGGCGATTTGCTGGCATAGAACGACGAAATGCAAAACCATCGCGCATGTCTTCCTTCCAATCCGACCATTTGAGAGTTTCGTTTGTCGTAGTACCACAATAAACGAGATAAAGGGTGTACAAAAGCAGCCCCCAAACCAATGGAGACGTCAGCGCTGCAAGGAGGGATGAGGCCCCCATATTGACGTTGTCTTGGATGCCCCAACCCCAACCAGCCAAATACTGACTGACCGTCATACCTCGAGGCTTCCAAACAGACCAGCCAGGAGTGTACCTCTGAACTCGTACCGTAATAATGGACAATCCAAGAAAGCCACCATATGTGCACAAGAATGCAGTAGAGATTAGTAGGAGTATGAACCAGTGCTGGTTTCCGTACCCAACACATGAGTTTATAAAGACGCAATGATGATCAGCCTTGGCCACACAACGCTTGCACAGACTACAGTGCTTGGAACGAGCAGGCTTAAGAAACTTGCACGTCCGACACATGTGCCCCGGGTGGAAAAGTGTGTGGTCGTAGGGATAGAGCGACATGTAATAGGCGTGATTTTCGGGCGTAATATAGCCTGGATCAGCAGCACATGCCAGGTAGAGAAATAGGTAGGGCAAGAACACGGTGACCACGACAATGAGTTTCGTGAAGGATCCAATCTTTGCCCACGCTTGAGGAATAAACATATACTCGCCCACAATCATAATGAGCATGAAGAAAATCTGAACTGTTATTATGCTGCCATCTCGGAAGGGATAGCAAGACAACTCACCACAACAGTCCAGTGTCGCTCATGTAGCATCATGTTACTGAACCGGGATAGATAGCTCGACACTCTCCCTCCCGTGAGCACCTGATCTACACCAACGATCACATTGGGTATATGAATCCATATCAGCCTATGCAGTGCGGCTATAGGCGTTCGTCTATCCCAAATCAGTATCTTCAAGTTAGGTAGGTAAACACGAGACAAATGCAAGACGAACCTCAGAGCAGGTATTCGGCCAAAAAAGGCTACAAACACCATAAAAGAGATGAACAAGATCAAAAGAGTGAGTTTCTTTAGGGGACTCATGTTTTCGATTTGTACAAAGAGTAAAGTTCGAAGAAAGTAAGAACCAAATTTGCCAGCTAAGTGAGAAGCTTGGCAGGAGACCGTAGGTGGTGGCACTGAATCAAGGCTTCATTTTGCTAGGGAAACAGGAAAAAGGTCATCGAACAAGACAAAGAGACAGAAAATTAAAAGGGCATGAAAACGAACAAGTCAAGTATATACGTCAGATTCCAACCTCAAAGAATGATTGTCAACAACATGACAATGCTCGGAGGAAGCGGGCTTAGATGTTATGCATATAAGCCATGCTCGATATCTCGATAGAAGGATAACGGGATTAGACACGTGATCCCGTAATAACCTCGCCTCGGGGAGTAAGAAAACAGCAAACCTTGATATATGGTGTCAAAATAAATTTATTAAAAATTATCCTAATCTTAGGCTATATTACCTAAGCCTTTTTGTCATTTAGGATCAACAGTCCTGTGTTTTCTTTCCTTCCCTAGCCTCGATGCGAGAGAAATGTAGCCCGCCATTGGCTGATTCCAGCCCGCAGTGATGATGGCGACTTTTTCCTTGGAGTGGGCATCCCCATGCTTTGATAATCATGAAACTAGTTATAAACGAGCGGGCGGGTTTCGGAGATAAAGCAGTAACCAAATAAACCTCTTTTCATACTCAAAAACCACCTGAAAAGAGACAGCCCTCTCTCTAGCTCTTCTCTAATATTCTTACTCAAACAATGGTTCTCCGCAAATTTGAACTCGAGGGCAAGCTTGGCGAAGAGACTCGACTCATCGAGAGTGGCGTTCTTCTCGAGGAGAATCCTCTCGACGAGAGCCCTGAGTTCAATGAATTTCTCATGGCGTGTCGACATGGCGATCTGAAGAGATGTCAAGAGCTCATCAGCCAGGGTGTGAACATCAATGGCAAGGATCGTTTCGATTACACGCCTCTCATCATTGTAAGTGTTGGGAGTCCTCAGGGGGCAAGAAAACACCGAACCTTGATATAGGGTGTCAAAATAAACTTGGCAAAGAGAAACCTAAACTTAGGCTAAGTTGACCTAAGTATTTTCATCACTTATGGTCGAGGTCCTGAGTTTTGGAGCTTGGAGCTGACACACGCAGGCGAGTTTATGCGGTCACTATGAGCTTGTCCGGCTATTATTAGAATCTGGCGCCCTAGCAGAAAGAAATACTTTCCAAGGGGAACGATGCATCTACAACGCCCTCAATGATCGCATCCGCAACCTTCTCCTTCAATATGACTTCTCCAAGTCCTCAGATCCTTATGTCTACTGGTCCACTCACATTTCAACTCTTCTTGGCCGTACAAGCCCCAAGACAACAGATATCACCCTTGTCTCAGGCTCCCGTTTCTTCGATCTTCACAAATTCATCCTCATAGCACGGTCACCCTATTTCCGTGCCAAACTTGCTGCTACCCCAGATACCACCACATGGAAACTTGCCAGCGCGGTACCCGTGCAGTCTTTCATCATTGTCTTGAGATATCTCTACTTGGGCGAGGTTCCTCGTGATATCGCACCTGTGGGTGCCGACTCTGAAGAAGAAATATTCAAGGGCTTAGACAAGGTCAGCAAGCAGCTCGAAGTTGAATCTCTATGGGAGAATATTCTCGCAGGCGGAGACAGGAGACTTGCTCGCCAGCGGTATCAATCTGAAGTTGACCGGGCTCGAGGACAGTTCGAAACTTTCTTCAAACTAAATGTCCTCGGACTCAAAATGGTTGTTGATACGAACCAGGTGAAAGATATCAAGTGGAAGTATGATAACTCAATGTTTGCAGATGTCATCCTTCGCGCTGATGAGCCCATCGATATCGAGGATGAAAAGTCTGGCCAGACAACGCCAACAAGAGACGCCCCTACTATACCGATTGGCCCAGCCGGAGACCAAGAATCAGTCATCAAACGCAAATCAGTCCTTTATCCCGCTCATAAGGCGATGCTAATTCGCAGCGAGTACTTTGAGAAGATGTTTTCGGGCGATTTCGTCGAATCCAAACGAGATCAACATCTCCGAATCATCACCGTCGATTGCACGCCTGCAGTCCTTGAAATCATCCTTACTTACCTCTACACCGAGACTGTTAGCTGTCCCCTTGAGCACGCTTTGGACCTGTTATATGCTGCAGATATGCTGTTCCTCGATAATCTTAAGAGTAAAGCTGCTCTGACCATCAGCACGCTTGGTAGCGGTACCTCCAATGTGCTGGTAGACCGCACTCATGGTGAGGCAGCTGAGGAGGACGAACAAATAGAGATGGAGCCCGTCAACATTTACGACGTGATACACGCAGCATGGGATCTTCGTGTCCAGCGGTTGGAAGAATTCGCTGCGCGTTATCTTGCTTATCGCCTAGAGGATTACATAGATGAGGAAGACTTCCAAGCTCTCATTGCAGAATCTGCCCAACGGATCACTGTTCGAGAAGAGACAGATACTATCGAATTGCTGGACGATATTCGGTATTACCTAGACGATCGATTTCGATATCGCTTTGAGGATGCAGGTCTGGAAGACATGATGGATGAGGAGGGAGAAATCGATGCAGAATTAGCTGCTGCGATGGCACAACAAGCTGAGATATCGACAGATGTTGCAGGCGGCGTTTCTACTGATACCAAACCCATGTTTAACAAGGATAATGACAGGAATGGACAAGCCAACGGTCGGGGTGCCGTGAGAACGTTGGATGGAGCGGAAGCAGAGGATGAGTTTGTTTCAGACGCCATCAACTACCAGATCCTACAAGGCAAGATCGACGCTATGCTTGACCGACTCAAGCTTGATGCATAAGGATTGGATCATAGATATCACGTTTACAAGAGTTACGGCCTGTCGTTTACATACAACAACCCAATAATAAGCCATACATTCACGAGAAGAGATAGAATACATTGCTAAAACTGCATTTTATTAGAATGGTATCGGTTGAACTGCTAAACGTGAAAGCTTCCAAGAATTACCCGTAGAATTCAAGAACCGGGAATCTTTAATCCAGTTCGTTACAACAAGGTTCTAGCATGCCAAGCTTGCCAACGATGAGAGTCTGAAGCGTGCTCTAGCTTTCCAGAACGATGTAATCAAAGGAGACATCTGCTTATGCCACAGCCTTGAGTCGGAACGCACTCACCTGGTGTGTTTGCCGTGTCCGCCAAAATATTTTCCTATTTGCAGGGTGATAGTTGCTCTTTAGTACTCAACAGTCTTGATAGACTGCTGCAGCAGGGGAGGAAGCTCCTCCCGCTTAGCAAGCCCCATGCGCACGCAGTCACCCCAGAAGAACATGGCCCGATCCTGGGCGTAGCTCAGGTAATCGAACTCATCGGGGCTCAGCAGGTCTTCTTCCTTGATGGTTTCGTCGAGGCCTGGGATCTTGGCCTGCACAATGCCCCACGCGATCCAGTGAGCATGATTGGCCGGGCGCCACTGTCGAGTCTCCTCCAACAACTCTCGCACGCGCTGGTCGCTTCGTTCGTCGTTGGCCCGTTCCGCGGCGCTCCATCCTCCTGGTGGTACTCGCGCATCAAGCATGAACTCGACGATGGAGCTTGAGCTGCTCGCAGGAGGGTTGGAAGGTGTCGCAAGTGGCGTAGACATGCCGCTCGACACGTTGCTATCAGATGGCGCCAGTCGAGGGGTGGAGTTGCTGCCTTGGAACCGGGGACGGTGATCGACATAGGCCTTGATGAAACGGCGTTGCTCATCCGGGGTGGGATATCGTCGCACATCGCACGCCCAGGGCACCGTAGCATCATGGTAGTTGTATGTCCATTCGTTGAAATGATTGGCAAACTCAAGACCACGAGTATTAGGGCCCGCATATTCAAAGTCAATGACGATGAGTTGCTTGTGTTTGTTGGCAGCCTGAAGCAGGGGTGACTTTTCGTCATCCGGGCGAATGCGGAGGATATTTCCATATTGCGTCTGGAAACCTGTTAATGAAGAACTCTTAAGGCGCATTGTCATGAACTTACATCGCTGTGGGCAAAGACGAGACTGTCCTTGATCTCTCGTTGGCCCCCCTTGTAGAAACTGTTGAGATGAACTCTGTACTTGGTCATCATGTCCCTGAACTGAGGCCAAGGGGTGCCGCACACATAGCCTCTCGATTTCCAAGCATGCACCACAGAGTCGCGTCGACCGTTTTGGGCTTGAGCTTCCTTCTCGTACTCATTATCAAGGTAAGTTGCGATTCGCTCGACATTATCGAGCCATTGATCCCAACTCTTCCATGTTGCTGGTCCGCCTTCCCTCTCATGTGGGAGCAGATCAATACCATCGTGAAGCTCTCTCATTCGCTTGGCGATCTGACGGGACATGTCGGCATCTCGAAGGTCCGCCGGCGTAAGCGTGATAGAGTCAAAGTACTGCTCGAAACGACCATTCTTGAATGTTCCCAACAGACGAGGTCCGATTTTCTTGCGTGCCAATCTCTGCAGGACTGACAGTTCGTTGTCTCGGTCAATGAGATGCTCGACCTGTGGTCCATAGATGCGTAGAAGGATCTTTTTAGGCTTTCTTTTGCCCTCTGCCTCATCGATTTCCTTCGGTGGCGTGACGACGTAAACAGCGTTGGTCAAGGCACCACTAAGCCTCTCAACGGAGATCTTATCGCCGCCACCAAGGGGAATACGCCTCCATCCTTTGAGTCGCAACGTATGGGCGATGCGAATGATTTCGTTCTTGAAGCCAAGCCAGCATTCCTTCTCCTTATCAGCCTTGGTATCAGCATCAGCTGGATCCTGATCTTCATCATCGGCGGCTCCGCCTCCGTAGCTCATCGTCTTAGAGTTGTCAAGCCAGACATTGCAGCTGGGTACAACGGCGTCCCCATCGGCATATTCAGTGTCGGAAGAAAGACCACGAAGAGAGGATCGAGATGGGACCTTTCGATGCTTAGGACGGGATACTCTAGGAGTCAGATGAGGCAGAGAGTTGAGACCCATGTGAGATAAGGATTCCTCCAGGATACGCTGAAGTCGATCAAAAGAAATATCGCTTGAGTCAGAGTCGAGAGAATCGGAGCGAGGTCGTCCAATACTGGATTGTGCGGGTGCTGGAGCCGCTTGAGGTTCTGGAACGGCACCCGCGACACTTTCTCCCTTCGTATCCTTAGTTGGCGATTTGGACTTGCGCCTGCGGTGCGTTTTCTTGGACTTCCTCGCGTGTGCCTTGGCCCGTTCATGCTCTAACCAATCTCCGACCTGGGCGAGTAGTTTCTCACTATAATACTGACCCCGGTGACCATGGCCATGACTATGGTGGTGGTTCGAAGAAGGGTTCGAAGTAGGAGGTGTCTCTTCAGGCCGGCTGCCAGAAGGACTGTCGCTGAAGGAAGACCTAGAGGAGTTGTTGGGAAGAGGAGAGGGCAGAGGTTTACCACTCAGGCGTCGTCTGAGGTTGGTAGGGAATTGCTTGGTAGGCTGGGAGTCATCCTCGAGAGTTTGAATTTCGGATTCGGGTTTGGCGATCTGGACAGCTGTGGTATATAAGCATTGAATCATTTTGGTTCAAACTTCTGGTAACAAAGCGCAAGAGCTGTACGCAAGACAAGATGCACAACAGATGAGAGAGATATCGGGGCATGATCAGACATGATCGTGGGAGCGAAGCTACAGATTGTGTGTGTTCGTATATAGCATTCTTGCATTTGAACCCACGTCACAGCTCATAGATGCACACAGTGATTTCTCCCTCATCTGATATATTTTTGAGGAAAAGCAACTGCGCAATACAAACGCCGTCTGAAGCAAGGCGTTTCGGTTAAGACCAGGTTTCAACGTACCTTTAAGAGAGCCGCTCGAAGGACACGGGCGATCAACGTCATCTTCATTTTTGAGGGCAGAGCGCAATGGCTGCTGCTGGGCAGACGAGCCGTTGATCGTGGGGCTCGGCACCGCAGACATGGCGAGGGGAGGAGATTCTGCTTTCTGAAGAAGGGGGTTGAGTTGCCCAAAAGGTACAAAAATATAGGATGAATAATTTGCGCAGTAAAAATTGTAGTAGGGAAATGAGGATGAGTCGCGGTGTGAGAAGAGTGAGAGGACCAAGGAGACGGTAAGAGAATTGGTAGAGAATTGAATTGAGGCGGCGTAGGTACAGATGCAAGCAAGCTGGAGATCCCCCTCTCTCCCAAAAGTAGAAAAGCGGCCCAAGGGTCGTCTCTGGGCTCTCGGTTGTGGCTGGGGTAGACGCAGAGGGGGTGCGCTTAGCAGAACAAGGGACTTGGGGTATCGAAACGACTTATTCGTATTGGCTGGTTTGTGACCTGAGGCGTTTGATTGAAGTTTAAAATGACATGGTTATCGTCAAACAAAAAGATAAAGGGTCTCTAGGGGAATAAACTAAGGTACTGAGGAAGATAAGTGTTGAGTTAACAAGATGGAATCTGATAGAAGGGAGCACGAGATAAGACAGTGATACCAATTATATAAAAGGAAAGGTTCACCACGGAAAATAGTCCACATGATCTGGACCGTAAGATTAGACTGGCTCTCTCTTTTCCTTACATAACCCAAACGTCACAGCATTAACTTTCAAGGAAGAAGAGAGGATTCACATCCAAAAGAGGCGAATTCTCGGCAACCAACAAATGCTGTTCAACAGGAGTTTACTCCAAAAAGCGTCACCGAAGAAAAACAGGAAATATCCAACGGATGCCTCCAGTAAAATCAACAGAGACTGTCCCAGACGTTGAGAGGTTCCAGGCCCGGTCCTACAAGGGTGACGTAGTGTGGCACTAGGCCCTAAGGTGACCTCGGTGGCAGTTTTGGGAAGTGTCTCACATGCTCCCGCTTCACCGCCAAGACCTTCAGGGTCCCTCTGACGATGTTGATGTGAATTCTTTTCTTTCTTCCGTGCCGGTTGCTGGTCTGTTCGTATTCTCCGGAACTTATCTTGCCGGCCCCGGACACTATTGGCCCACTCTCGGGCACCGAAGCCGTGGGGGGGCTACCCTCGGCATAACGTCGTCCTACCTCTTCCTCTCTCTGGGCACTCCTAGTACTGAGAGTCTCGTGTGGTTGTGATACTGTCATCAAGGCAAAGCAAGAAAGTCGAGAAACTCCTTTGTAGGTAACAACAAGACTCGAATAAGTTTACTATTAAGTGATGAAGAGGCTTAGGCAATTTAGTCTAAATCCAGAGGAGTCTTTACTGAGTTTATTTTGGCATTCCCTTCTAAATCTTAGTAGGCCTTTAGACTAGTTTATCTCGACACCCTGATTCAAACATCATAAGTTTTCTAGTTCCCTGACTTCAGGTAACACATCTCATCCATCAAAGTGTCCCCCACGCTCCGACTTCAACATTCTATCTTCAACGAGGTGGGACGAGACAGCCTCATTCTGACAAGGTACACGCTCGTGCTCCGTGCACGGTGTAATACTTGCTCACATAGCCTCCGGTATACCTGTGTAGGACAAGACGACTCACAAGTATCACGATTCTTGATCTCTTATATATTGACTAATCAACGCGTTAACTAATGAAACAGCACTTCCTAATACAAAGCATAGACTAATAGCTATGGCCAGACCTTAAACACTTCCATCAACAAGCGTCCAGTTTGGTAAACTTACAACTCGAATGTGCCCAGTCCGTGCTTCTACTTCAAAATTCGTTCTTGAGCCTTCCTTAACACAGCTAGACGTTGTCCCATCTCTTTCTCCACGGCTCTCTGCTTTTCTTGCATCAAGGCTTCGACAGCCTCTGTGATCAACTTAACCCATTCTGTGGCCAACCACTTTTTGGCATCCCAGAGACACCCATTGTCTAGCTGTGTCAGTTTGTATTGGGCCCAATGATCACCTAAACCGCCCTTGTCATCATAGGGATTCAACTCGCTGAACTGTTGCCAGATATCGATAACTCGGTATGCCTCAACTTCCTCTATCTTGAACCATTCCTTGTGCTTCATTTGGCAGGCTTTGTTCGGACAAGAGGCCTTCATGTTCTGTGCGTGTAAAGTTTGATGGATCAATGTCTCTATCCTCTTAGCAGCACATGGAATGAAGGCATCGAATTTTAGGACCACGTCATGTTTGCAGTCACGCTTCCATTGCTTCATCCTCCTTTCAATCGCATAAGACTTGCTGAACTCGGTGCATCTTACGTATCTAATTTTGAGGAATCCAGGCTTTGACCTTTCGGCGAAGCAATATACACACCCAGATCCCAACCGGTCTTTCGAAACTGACCTTGCCAAGAGTTTCATGATATTATGGACTGGCGATTTCTCCGTGTCATCGAAGGTCATGGAGCGACGAGATCGCAATGACTCCGCTTCTGATTCAGCTTCCTCATTGTGGTCACCCAAGTCGTCTACGCTGAGTCTCATTTTCCTCATCATATCGCTTGAAAGAAGGTCAATATCTGTCTGCATCCTTCTGCGCGTTGGGCTCTCCATGTGTCTTTCATTGTAGCAGCTCTGGCGAAAAGAAGATCGTGGAGTTTCGCACCCCTCGGTGCTGAAAGCAGAATGTGGTGTCGAGGCTGTCGAATATGGTGTGAAGATCTCACTAGGATCAGGCGAGGTGACAGACCCTGGTGAAGTAAGACATGCATCGTTTGTGGGTGTTGGGTATGATAGCGGGCCTGGTGATCTGGAATAAATGTTGCGATATCTTGAACCGTGGTTTCTTGGAGGCGTCCTGGGGATTTCCCTGTCACCCAGTGGGCTCTGCCTAGTAAGTCCAGGACGTCGAAGTTCCCGATATGTAGATGTCTGACGGGTACATTCGTCTATCCCCTCATCTTCAGAATCTTGTTCTGAACTGGCTCCCTTGTGACTTAAATCGATGTCGTCTTCAATTGATTCAATCACATCATCGCTTAGATAGTCACCCGGATACTCGCCGTCGTCTGTGTCGTAAATGATAAAACCTTGACTTTGATCCGATTTTCGTTTGCTCATGCGCGCTGCTCCACGTTCTCGAAGGGAAGTCGATGATATCTGAGAAGACCGTACCAGCCTTGGATTTTCTTTGCTCTCCGTCTTGAGCCATTTGTACAACCTCCTAGTCAATAAGGCATGGGCATAGTCCACGGGATTCGGAAACTTGTCTCCGTCGAACACGAGTGTTTCCGTGTGTATCTTTTCTGGTCTGTGGCAGACGAGTTTCTTGGCCAAGCCCCGGAGAGAAAGATCAATGGTATCCTTCTGGCCATTATCGTTAGATTCTCGAACAGCCAGGGCTTGCACAATTGGCTTAACCAATGCTTGTCGCCGTTTTGGAAGTATGTGGAGGCACTGGCTTTGGGTCTCCCTCCCGGCAAAGCAGTCGATGTCCCCGGTCTGTGGGTTCCGAGCGCGTTGTACAGGCTGCTGTGAGCCTCAGCAAGGCTGTTCGCTGGGCTCATTTCCAGGAGTTAAGACTAGGGCCAGAGGTTTGTTGCACACAAGGGACCGGGACATAAAGCTATCGAGTTGAGGGCTCACAAAGGACGAGCTTGAGGAGGAAGGCAATTTGTGAGGGAAGTCCCACGCGAGAGACCTTTTGACACTATTTATGTCTTTCTTCCTTCGCGGAGGCTGGGACATCCTTGATCAGGGGGGTCACGAGCGAACTGTATCGCCTGCAGCTGAGACCACGATGTGACAACCCATGTATGTGCCATGGTCCAGATCAAGGACATGGACTATCACATCACCATATTGGCGAGCCTGGGTGGTAGATGAGCAATAACTGAAGGCTTTGAGGAGATGGAACAAATTGGACTTGTCTTCTCAATCACTTACCACTCTTGTCGTCTAAATCAATCGGCCTTCTAACAGCTCAATCGGCATACCCATTCGAGTGGTCAGACACCCTGTTGGTGTTGTTGGTTGTGATGCAGCTCGTCAGCGCCAACAGTATCTGCAACGAACGGACTTTTGGGATACCTCTTGCATGCGTGACCCCTGTTTTACGCAAGGTATAATCAACTCCCTTTCAGCCTTGGTACAAGGTGCGGAAAAAGATACCCTTTCCTGGAAAGTCAGCCTTGAGATTTCGAAATAGGCGACCACCAGATAGATTTGGAGATTTATTATCCTAAATTCTAATTGGAATGCTTCATGTCCTACGCCCAGTGTTCAAAATCCATCTGAGATTGCACAACTTCTATAGTCTTGCCTCGGCTGCCTCGAGCTCACTTGGGTACTTGACTCCATCTTCGAGGCTAACTTGATCTCCAATCTCCAGAGGCGGCAGCTTGACGTAACCCTTCGTGTGCGAGAGAGAAGAAAGTACCCATTCCCTGGTGGCCTTGATGCCTTCGTTGTTAAGCGCCCAAACCACAGCATCTACTACATCGTCCACGATGACGGCCGGTTTGTATCGAGGCTCCTTTTCGGTCGATGTCTGTCGCCAGACGCCAGTTCGTACAAGAATTGGAACCCACTCGGTACCATCCTCCGCTTCAAATTCGCTAGCACCCCGGATGTCACTTTCTGGGTTGTCGCCAATCATGTAAACGCGTCGAAGAGGGTGGCATTTGGATGTATCATGCCCCGGGCTTTGACCGCGATTGCAAGCCATATCATGGTAGTACTGTAGCAGCCTATCATGAGCGTATTTGTACGTATGGTTGGATGGTTTGCCGAGTGCGCTGAACTGCAGTTCTGTTCCGTTGGTAGTCGTTGACCAAACTCCCTTGAGCGCTTCCATGAATGCTCCCGTGCCAAATCGGTTCACAGGATAGTTTGTTTTCCATAGCATATCAAGGTTGGAGATCCATAGTCCAGGTTGACCATCTTGCTGCCAGCCATTGTTGGGCAGAGACTCATTTCCATTTCGGTTCGAAACAGTCCCGATGTAGCCTTGATGAGATATTAAAAGGTCGTGGATGATCTGAATATCAACGGACCAGTCCCTTGGATCGTTCCAGATGAAAATGTGGTCAATTTTAAGAGCATTGGCAGGGACATTGGTTGTATAAGGGTCCTTCAGCAAAGGAATTCGCTTGCCATCTGGCAATGGTGTCGGCCTGCCATTGATCTCGCCCTCAATATGCTCAAAGGGGAACACGTCCTTGCACTCGGCGAGGATATCCGCCGGGGTGACAACACGCTTGAACCCGTACCTATAACAATTAGCTTACCAGATAACATTTTCCTCATAGAAATGATGCTCACCCGAAAGCAATCTGACGAGCTTTTTCAGGATGAGAACCTGTAATTAAGACAGTGCCATTGTTCTTGACATCGTCACTCCAGCCACTCATTGGCGTGTGGGACAGAATCATCCTGCCTTTTACCACATCGTCGTTCTTGGCGATCTGGAGTCTTTCTTGAAGAGTCTCTGCTTTTTTGTCTTCAGGGACGCAACCACCGTTTGTCAAAAAGACATATCGGATGCCATTGCTTCTGAGCATCTTGATGACTTTCTCAGCTCCCTCCACTCTGTTGCGGCCTTGGTATAGGACCCCGTCAATACTGCCGTTTGTCAGCTCCTGGTACACTTCTTGCATTCGCGAACATATGTTTTAAATGGAATAGGAAGTACACAAGACACAGTTCGAAGCCGACTCACTCAAATGCAAAGGCAAACTCGGAAAACAGCTTTCGTGACAGGTCGGTGGGCTCCTCATATTGATTTGGGTTGACACCTAGTGAGCCCTTTGGCTTGGATAGACAAGCATAAGAGGTAGTGAATGGCCTTTGTGATATAGCTGAGATTCTCATGACAGCCGCTGCCGTCGGTGCGACAGACCGTAGCTGCGTCAATCGACGTGCGGCGAATTGGCATTGGCCGAAGACACCGAAGCGTTGCATATTTACCGAAATGCGAAGGATCAAGTATAGGAGAAAGTACACGCCAAAGCTCCAAGGTTAGAGGTCTCAGTGAGATGGCAGGCGAAGAAAAGGTGCAGCGACAACGTGTAATGCTCAAAAAATTAACTATTAGTTGTAACTCTCTAAGTGTCAACTTGTTAGAGTCATGGTTGATAAGAGGACTTGTCGGTAATATCCACCCACAATTGCTGCGAGCCGAGGATCGCCATAACATAGTGCCCAATATGTAATTTAATACCAGCAGGCTACGACACAAAAAAGAATCATTCGCGGGGTTCTTCTTTTAATGCAGTTCATGGAAATGTACAGTTGATTGAGTGGTTCCTAATGTCACAGTATCCTTCTATGAGTTCATGATTCTGTTGTTACAGTACTTTTACATCACCCGCAATATCTGCTCATCTTACAACCCAACCATGGATGTTCTTTCTCCTTATAGCCAAATAGCGAATGCTCTATTTCTTATCCCAGTCCTTCATATGGTCCAGGATAAGCGCTGCGGCCTGCTGCGGCGAGTGTTGTCTGCCCAATGCCTCAACGAAATCGCCATCCGGGTCCATCAAGTAAAAGTAGATGCTGTGGTCCACCAAATAGTCCTGTCCTGGCTTGACGTTCTGAGGTGTGCTGAAGTAAACGCGGTACTTCTTGCAGAGCGCCTTGATCTGATCATATGTGCCGGTCAAACCAATGAACTTCTCATGGAATTCGCCCAGGTAATCCTTAAGAGCCTTTGGGGTATCACGGGCCGGATCGCAGGTGATGAAGATGGGAAGAAGTGCACCCGGTGCCTTTTCTTCGACGATATCCAACATGGTAGCCATCTTGTCGAGTTCTTCGGGGCAGATATCAGGGCATCGAGTGAAGCCGAAGTACACCTAATAAGGGTTAGCCATAAACATAATCGTTTTGAAACTGCGAAGCTCGTTTTCCTTGACATACCAAAGAGTGCTTGCCCTTCATCATCTCGCTGGTAAATGGCTTTCCATCCTGATCGATCAACTCAAAGGTTCCTCCAACTTTTGGTCGGCCCACGCCCTTGGCTGCCTCAGCTATTCTCTTACGCTGCATGCGCGCCTTTTCAAACTCGAAGTACCATACTAACAGGCCGCAGGTACCGACAAACAGAATTCCGGCCTTCCAAGAAAAGGGCTGTTGTGCATTTGTCAGCTCATTATTTCTTCAATCGCCATCGCATTTCCCCCCAGATCTTTTTTATTCATACCCCGTTGCTATATCGGCTCTTGGCCTGCTCGATTGTCTTGTATTTCGTTCGGCGCTGGGTAATGGGCTGTCTCGACTGGATTGGCGCTCGTGGGAGGGTTGGCCGGAGCTGCTTGGGCTGCAGAGCGCTGCTGGACAAGCATCGTTGGCATTGTCTTGTCGAGAGAGATGAGATCACACCCCTCAGTGCTCTTGGCGTTGTGATCGAATTCGACATGGTGAAATGACTCAACGCGAGAGTCGATAAGCTCATGCAAAAGTTAAAGAATCTACTACGTAAACTTACATCTTTCGATTGTCACAACCTTAAGGTAAGCTCCAAAAAAAAATACATGGTCCGGGCTTTTACCGGGTTTGTTAGTTCCGCCTTAGTCATTAAGACTATCCACCATCACTTCTGCCGTCTCCAACAGCTTGTCACTTACACCGAAGTTTCAATTTCCGTTTTTTTCTCTTTCGATTAGCTTAATAAACTGGCGGTGCTGATGTTTCCCTGAGATTGCCTGTTTCTCGGTCTATTATATAAATCGTATTGTGTCAAGTGACCACATTAATTGTATATAAGGGGCAATATCTGCCACTGTCAACACTCCACAATGGAACAAACCACACCAACAATAGGACAAAGCGAAGACTCTCGCTCTGAACCCTTTGAAAATGACACAAAGAGCGAAACGGTTGCCGAGAGTACCCCTCAACCTCCGTCAGATGCCCACCCCGCCTCCTCCAACTCACCTTCACATCCTCCTTCTACATCTACAGAACTTTACAACATGGCCGCTCACACAGCTTCAAAGAAGAAAGGCACTGCTTCGACAATTAAGAAGACACCTAAGCGATCAAAGAAAACAGGAGGGCCAAGGGCGGCGAAAAGAGCCAAACTGCCCGCGCGGTCAGGTTCCGCGGGAGATGCCCATGAATCGGCAGGATCCGAACTCGAGGAATCTGACCATGGACCATATTGCCTATGCCGCGGGGCAGACGACCACCGGTGGATGATATGTTGCGAAAATTGCGAGGATTGGTTCCATGGAGAATGTATCAACATGAACAAAGAGGTTGGCGAAAATCTGATCGAAAAGTTCATCTGTCCACTCTGCACAAACGAAAGCCTCACAACTTTATACAAGAAAACATGCGCCTTGGGCGGATGTAGAAAGGCAGCCCGAATAGCCCAGGGGGAGAAGAGCGTGTTCTGCTCCAACGAGCATGCACAAACATGGTGGGAGCGCATGGTAGCCAAGTTGCCCAAGGCAAAGGGAAAAGGAGGAGTTAACGACCAGCTTACCCAGGAGGAATTCATGGCGCTCCTTCAAGGTGGCCTTTCAGGAACTGACGAAGAAGGGCTTTGGAGGCTGGTCAAGGCACCATTTGCAGACGAAGAGTCAAATGGTCCAAACGGAACTGAGAAAGGTATGTCGCTGTCGTATCCTACCTATCACGCAAATCGGCTCACAAGTATCACAGAAAATCCCGATCAGACGCACCTCTCTGCGGAGGAGAAAGAGTATCTCGAAAGTGCAGCCGCAGCACGCTTCCACTTGGCCGAGGAGACAGTTCTCTGTCACAAAATGCTCACTCTCTTGGAGTTCGCACACGAGAGACGGCAAGCTGCAATTACTGCCGGTCGCTTCAAAGAAGATATCTGTGGATACGATGAACGTCTCGACAGTATTGGTGCTCGGGACGCTTTTGAGGCGTTTGCAAAGTCGGCAGAAGGCGAGGCTATTTTCAAAGCGTCTCGAATGAGCGATCCTCTAGGAGAAGGCGACGAAGTTCGTGGTATGTGTGAGCGCAAGCGTTGCAAGTTTCATGGTGGATGGTATAAGATGCTTTCATTGGGTCTCAAGCATCAGATTCGGGAAATGGCAACACAGGCCGATGAGGTTGGAGAAGAGGAGAAGGCTATGCGCCAAGCCGCGAAGGATAGATGGAGGCGGAAGCAGTCAGAAAAGAACTGGGTTGAGGTTCTGGATGGTTGAATGCTGCTGCTACTACTCAGGCGTTGCTGGCGTATATCGGATACTGCTGATTGTTAGGCGCTTAATCATGTCACCATCAAGCTAACTATAGAGACCTTTTCAAGCAGTCTGGCAGTCTATATGAGAGGAACTACAAATGTCTATTTTCAATCATAAAATCATGAAGAAAACGTCTATTCACACGTGGATGCAAACGTGTACCTTGTCCATAAACTTCCTAGAGCATAAAAACTTATGCTTGTTGGAACCACGAGGGCTCGATTAAAAGGATTTAGCATTAAAGGATGGATTGGATGTAAGTGGGCATTTATTAGCCTCAACCTCATTATGATAGGCACTTCCAATATACTTATACTTTTAATTTACCTACACTCACTTACCTATTCTTCTTTTAACGATTGTAATACCTCAATGAGATAGTGCTAACATTCATTCGTTTATCAGAACACATCTAGGTAGTTCATCATACCTCAGGGTCCATCCATTAAGTTTTGGAGCTAACGGACTACCTATGACCGCCACCACCCCCCGCCGCCGTCAGGGAAAAAAATCCTTGTCTCGCCGACCACCAAAAAGTTGAAAAAAACATTTGCCTGCTTATCAAGCAAGTAACAACTCGGAAACGAAAGGGAGCGCCCATAAACTGCGTTACCTAGTGCATATTCTTGATTCTTCTTCGCTCAACTCTTTCTTGTTTTTTATAATATCTTTCCCTCTCATCGAACATCACTCGTCGTACCCTCGTCATAAAATTACCCCGCCATCATGTCGTCTTCTAACTCCCGCGATCAAAAAGAGCCTGTCGACGAAGAGCTCGAGGAGGATATGCTCGCCGCCGAGGATGCCGCCGAGGAAATTGTCGACGATGAGGATCTGGCTATGGACTCCGACAATGAGGAGATTCTGCTCCAAAATGACTCCATCGGCTACTTCGACGAACCCAAAGACTCCCTCTTCACCATCGCCCAGCATCCCAAGTACCCTTCCATCATCGCGGTTGGCGGTTCAGCTGGCCAGGAAGATGATGCTCCCGGTGCAGGTTGGGTCTTCAACACAGCCTCTGCTCAATCGCGACCTCCGCTTCCTGCTAGTTTCTCGAGCGATCCCGCCGCAGACGCCCTGAAGAGCACCCAGCTTCCCTCTCTATTTAGCCTAGATGGCCACACAGACTCGATCAACACACTTGCGTGGACTCTGCCTCAAGGAGATGCCCTCGTCAGCGGTGGACTTGACGGGAGGTTGCGCGCTTGGAAGGCAACCATCTCGAACGATGGTTCTGTCAAGATGGACTTCCTTGGTGAAGCACAGGAAGTGCCTGAGATTAACTGGATTGTGCCATGCCCATCTTCCACCAATCCCAACACCATTGCCCTGGGCGCTTCCGACGGTTCGGTTTGGGTCTACACAGTCGATCCCACAGATAAAGCCAACTCTCTTCAGATCGTTCAGTCCTATTTCCTACATACTGGTGCCTGTACCGCCGGTGCTTGGACGCCTGATGGCCTTCTGTTGGCCACCATCTCTGAGGATGGAAGCTTGTACGTCTGGGATGTCTGGGGTGAGGCTACTGCCAAGAACCTCGTTGGTGATAACGGTATGACTGCGGTGGCTTTGACTGCAGATGATCAGCGGTTCGAGGTTGAGGGTGGTCTCTACTCGCTTGCAATTGACCCCAAGGGCGCTTTCGTTGCTGTCGGTGGTGCCACTGGCGCCATCAAGATTGTCTCTCTTCCACGACTTGCATCTTCCGGACCTCAGCCCCAGGCTCGTGCCCGAGCTGGAGGCAAAACTACTGGCCAGTCAACGGCGACAGCTGGCGGCCAAATTCTCGCCGCGCTGCATACCCAATCCGAGAGTATCGAGTCGCTTGCTCTCGTCACAACGCCTAACACACCTCCTTCCACCCTTCTCGCAGCCGGCTCTGTGGACGGCTCTATTGTCGTTTACGATGCCACCCGCCGCTTCGCCGTCCGACGACACATCTCTGGCGCCCATGAGGAACATGCCATTGTGAAGCTCGAGTTCATCCCCAACTCATGGCAACTGACCAGCTGCGGCATGGACGGTGCCGTCCGCCGTTGGGACCTCCGAGGTGCTGGTGCCACGAACCCTAACGCTCCCGCAACAGCAGCCGAGGCTGGTCTGCAAAAGGAATGGAAGGGCCACCGTGGTGATGGAGAAGGTGGCGGTGTCTTGGGCTTTGTTCAAGGCGAGACAGGAGAGAGGATCGTCACTGCTGGTGACGACGGTGTTGCTCTAGTCTTTGAAGCATAGTGTTTGAAAAGAATCAAAGGTTTTGGGAAATGGTATATAGAAGGAGAAAAGCGTACGCGAAAGTCGTTTCTGCTATCTTATGATTACAATGAATAGAATCATAGGGATGATACCCTGGATATTGGTTGCCACGGCTTGATGGCCTATACTTTGTGAAATCTTGAATCCCAGAATACGGCTAATTGGTCAGGTTCGTTATGCCACCCATGTCGACTGTAGTGGAAATCCGATGCGGAGCTGCATATGGGTACCTACCTATAAGTGAGCGCATTTGTCGATACCTACCTAGTAAACGGATCTGTAGAAACGTGGTGATCTTTTTGGTTAGTAAATGATATTTGGAATAGTCAGCTATATATACTATTTAGTCAAGTTAACACAATCATCATCTTGAGGGATGATACGTTGAGAATGATGGAAAGCTGGCTGATTAATCTGGTGATGACATACGTAGCCTGCTTATCGATAAGAGCTGCGAAGTTCCGCTCTATTAATCGCAGCGTCTAATTGGCCAGCGGTTGTTAGAATCTGAACCGCGCTTGTTCAAAATTCTTTGACCCATGACAGCGAAACGAGATAGCATCATACCCGAGTCTAATTTGCCATCAACGAGCGTTGCCCTTCGACCAAACACTTCCTCTTCGATTAAATTACATACAAAATGTTTGGAGGATGTATGTCGAACCTCAATTGAATTATTGAACTACCAAACTAATCTATTCCAGTTGCCCCCCCTCAGCAGTCTCAGGAGGAGATCCGCGCTCTTGAGGCCGACGCTGCCTTTACAGTTCAGGGCGCCATTACCACTGCTGTTCTCCTCTACCTCTGTATGTTTGGTGACCTTTCTTGGTTTAATATGAGTGGTGCTAACAATGTTTCTCAGCTCCCTTCGCTATCGACCTCGTCGGCAAGATCTTCTAAATATCAATAAAACCGCTTACGACTATGAATCTGTCCGTGTTGTCTTGATAGTGTTATGAGCCCGCAATGCGGTCGATGGTGCTACTGTCGCGCCATGTACAATAGAACCAGTTTAGATGGGACGGGTAGGAAGTCATGATTAATCTGTACAATACATATCCCAGGACGTGGTAAAAGCCGCGCAGCAACATCACTCACGACATCAAAATGCACCATATCCGTTCCCAGTTCATAAACCCAAATAGAGGTATCACTTGCTGTGTCGATATTATTCTTAGACTTTACAAAGAGTTACGTTTCGTATCCTATGACGCCTAGGATGAATACCCAGTCCTGACTCCAACTCTATGTCACCAATATACATCCTAACAAAAGGCAGTTGCTCTGTCTTTACCACCTTTGTCGCTAAACCGTGTGCCCTGATTAAGTTCCATCTATTTTGAGTGCGGGTTCCTGGTCTTCTCCCACTCTGCATAATCTGACGATAGAGCCTCAAGCTCTTTCTTGATATGCTGGATCTGCTTCTCATAATCCTCAAGCACCTGGAAAAGGGTTAGTTGGTTTGTTTGTACGGCGATCGATCCGTCACTTACTCGTTTTGCTTTGGCTTCCCGCTCCGGATCAATACTCTCTCCCTCAGAGCCGGTAGGCTTATCTAGCTCCTTGCTGAGCTGATCAGCATAGCCTCGCAACACAATAAGTCGGCTCCAGAGTTCTTCCTCTCTTGCTCCAACAGCTGGGTCTTGAACTTCTCGCTCCAGAGTCTGCAGGCGGCTGCTCAGATCATCCTCGTCGCCACTCAGTGCGTAGCCACGGTTGCGGAGCACTTGTATCCGCGCAGCAAGTGCTAGGCATCTTTCACTAATCGTTGTCTGTCGTCGGCGGGCTGCGACCGCGCGAACCTCAGTCTCGAGCTCGTGGCGCTGAAGAATGGCATCCAGGCTGCCGTTGATCTGGTGGAGACGAGTGTTGAAGTCGGAAACGGCGCGCTGTTGCGTTTTGAGGCGGTCGGCAACGCCAGCGTAGCCGGAACAAAGAACGGGCATGAACCCTGGGGCTGGCTTGTTCTGTAGGGCTTCCTCCCATTCCCGAGGATCTTCGTGAGGTTGAGGCTTATAGTAAGGAACGTGGCTCTCATCGACTTTGTTGTAGAAATAGTATTTAAAGACGCAGTTGGGGTTCGCAGGGTCCCATTTCTCGGTAACAAGCTTCATTTGCTCCAGAATCGGCTTCTGATCTATATAGGGGTCAGTCTTGCGATGTAGGAGAACCGCCCTTTCTTGACAACATACGCGGTGTTTCCTTTCCAGGCTGCCATAGAGAGTTTGACAGCTGAGCTTGCGATTGAGATAGAGCTGGCATCTGTTGCGGCTGTGGTTGCTGGATCGATGCGCCGAGTGTGTTGCCTTGTTGCTGTTGTTGAGGCTGGCCTAGACCGAACCCTGTGCTCTGAGTCGGCGCAGTTGTCTGAGCGGGCTGCGACTGCCCAAACAGCGAAGGCTTAGCCTGTCCAAAGAGCGACATATTGGGTGCTGGTGTTGCGACGTCTCAATCGGGAGCTGTCAGTCGGCAAGCTAAGCTTTGATTGATGAGTTTCCTTGCCGAGACGGAACCCGGGCGAAAGAAGTGGTTAGAAGCTCAATATGAGTTTGATTCTCGTTCTGCGACTGTGAAGTCGTCTAAGACAAGTGCTATCGGCGCTGTAAGACTGAAAATGCGATTGTTTGATTGTTTGCTGTGTTTATTTGGCGGCTTAAAATTATTGGAGCTGAGCAACGCGAAAACAGAGCTACGCTCACCTTGGGCCCCGTTGTAGCCTTGCGCCCAGCCTCGCTTCACCGAACCACCAATCACAGCCAACCAATTCCTACCTTACGCTACCAGATCCTAGCCGAACGACCTCACATAACCACTTCCGGATTCTGGAATCACCGCAACGTTTGACGACGAGCTTCGCAAAATACCGGCACCATGTCTACCCGAAGGCCCCAGTATGTTCACTCGACAGTTGACTCTCTTGCCTCTGCCCTGGAGCTCCTAGCGGATGCAATTGAGTTCTATAACAGCTGATAATTGGCTAACTAATCAACCCATCAGATTCTCCCAACAGCTGCTCATTGACACCACTCCGTTGCCCGCCGATATCCCCGCCGTCAAGGAGGTCGGTGCCAGTTCTGCTCCTCTCCTCTCGGCCTCCTTCTTCATCGGTGCTCGATGCCGCGACTACAATGACGATTATATGCAATGCAAGAACGAGAACCCTGGTCGAGGAGAGCTTGAGTGCTTGAAAGAGGGCCGACGAGTTACCCGATGTGCCTCCAGCGTGTATGTTATCTTAAGGCTCAGCAGACTGTATAGTCTGGTGGTCTTCCTGAAGCGTAATATGCTTCAAGGCCAGGGTCAGCCACTGACATGATCAACAGTATCAAGGATATCAACACCCACTGCCTGGCTGAGTTCCGCAAGCACTGGGAGTGCCTCGACAATCGAAATCACCAGTTGTGGCAGTGCCGTCCTGCTGAGTGGAAGCTCAACAAGTGCGTCTACGACAATCTGGTACGACAGCCATGGCCCATCACGCTATATGAAGGTTCTAATACAACATATAGAAACTCGAGAAGAAGATCCCCGATCAGCCAACGAACTCGACCCCTGTTCACCTTCGACCAAAGCAGATCTTCGCTGATGTGCGCATTGGGCCTGGAGACGGCAAGCCCTTCGTTCCGGGGCAGGAGGATGCGCAACAATAGAGCGCTGGAATCTATTAAGATCGAGGTTCGGTCATGTACATTTGTTGATGAATCAAGGAGAAACTACCAGCTATCAAATCAAAATTCGTTTGCTCACATCCAGTATTATACATCATCGACTACTAAGCTCCAGGTCCTGTATCCAGTTCGATATAGTCTTATTCACTCCATTCACCAAGCCAAGCAATATATTAACTTACGGTGACATTTCACTCATCCACCGGCATCTCGATGTCAATAGCTGCTACCACATGATATTGTTATGGCGCCTTTCAACCCGCCACGGAAGCTCTGGTCTCAGCATATCGTTTAACCTCACACAGATCAAGCGCATCAACACCAGTCACTAGTCACAGCATTGCAGCCCCAAACGCAACAGAACCTACGGCATCATGCAGCGAGCCTTGGGCGCATGATACACGGCGCTCCAAGACATTTGAGGAAAATCACCACCAACACTGCAGTTCGGCTAATCGGTGGAGCCACAGTTCGGCATTTCCTTCTTTTGTGATCCGAAGACCACAGGACGATATGGATATTTTATGGGCAGAGGTATATCATCACGATGCATGAGATTGGTCGGTAACATCTAAAGGAGCTGCCGAGGTCACCACCACGCCGTTCTACAGTGACCAACACGGATTTTGGCGAGTGCCGGAGGTCGGACTCGTAGTGACCAAAAGCATTTGATACGCAACAAGCATGCTCCTTGAGCCGCATGTATGAGGATGGTCACAAGTTTGAACCTAGAGTATGGCCTTCTTGTCGGTGACTGGCCCTCAGAGTCGCACAACCTCACATATGCCCCAGACCATGCACATGATCATTTCTGTGTCGCTGGCCCTTGAGCCGGGGCTTTTGTTTCGGCCTCATTTAGACTCGTTCAGGCAGCGTAAATGTTTTCATGCAACTAGCCGTTTCGTTTCAAGTAAACTTCGGCCAACAGAGGGGACGATTGGCTTGGTGTGATGGGCAGAAACCTAAGCTGGAACCGACATATACACGCCGTGAGGGTATAAATGGCGGTTGCCTGCTTTCCTGACAGAGTAGAGGCTCGTATGTTAAGCGAGGTACAGTCTGACGTAGTGTTTAGACTCTTGGTACTGTGAATTGAGCTTGACATGGCCAAAGTCACGTCTATTGAAATGGGCTTCCTACTTCGAGTTTACTACTACCTGCAGGTAGAGTAGGAACCTCTGGCACAAGTACATTTTAACACCACGACAGCCAGAGCTGGCCCTTGTATCATCACGCTTTGAGTGTCTTGTTTCTCGATGTTCGGCGCTTGTGCGCTTCGTGAAACAAGAAACGGGCCTTTCAAGCGCCCAT